CTCTTTTAAAGACTACTGCTGAAGTTGATTTAAAAGACTGAGTGATAATTTTATGATATGTTATTTTTCAAACCAGAAAAAGCAGAATCTTTAAATGCAATCTCAGCAATAGCAGATAACAAGGTGCAAAAACATGTGGTTCAACAATATATTGAAAAAATGCTGGGTATTCCGCTGCTTTGGATTGATGAAAAGTCTCAAAAAGTACCGGATTTAGCAATATGTCTGAATACAGACAATGTTGATGGTTCACTGCTATCTTTACAGGAAAAAAGTGGTAAATAATGCAAAAAAGAAATATTTTTTTATCAAACATATTACAAGAAATCTATTTTACTTTGTTTGTATATCTAGTGAAAAATGAATTGGACGAATGACCCTCAGATTATAAAACTTTCTCCAAGAAAAATAAAATCCAAATACCAAATAGTGTGTATGATTTAACTAAAGAAATGAAGGATATTATACAGCTAGTTGGTTTAAAAAGTTACGATACAGACATTGGATTTTTTATGCCACCCTTAACACAAAAATGTGGGGTAATATATTGTACTGTGTCTGTCTGTCGTTCAGTCCATCTTTTCAACGGTTTGTCTGTCCGTAAAAACTAACTTTGCCCATAACCTCTGATTGGTGAAGCTATTGTATTGTTTATTTACGTAGATATACCTTGTGACAAGATCTTTCTTTCAGTGTGAATGCATTTGACCTTAAATAATACCTTAAAAAATCAAATTTTAATTATGACCCTATCTTCTGTACAGTTTTTTTGCTATGGTGTCCATCCTTCCCGTTTGTATCTTTTGTATAAAACTTTTCATTACTTACGAGTACATTGAAATTTTTTTATTCTTTGACCATTACAGAAAAATATAACATTTTTTAATCTTTAAACTTGGTACAATTTTTTGATAAAACTGTTCTAAGGCTTTCATATTTCATTTTAAAGATTGGTGGAATTAGACAACAGTTTGAATAATACAGAATTTTAAACAATTAGGTGTAATGAAAGGAACTTTTAGTGAGGATTTTTGCATCGTATTTAGCTAGATTACTAAACACAAAACATCTGGATTAGACAAACTTATCAACGACTTTGACCTTCTTGCCATGAGCCTGGAGAATACTATAATTTTAGCTATACTGGTAAGAAACCAGAAGAGCTATACAATAGTAAGGTGTCCGTCATCCATCGGTATGATTTCTGGCACAAAAATAGATTATAGATTATAGAATAGACCCTATGATGCATAATTCTGCCAAACTTTCTTCTTGACATTGTTAGCCAAGACATTTTTGTCTTCAAATAGAAGAAACAATTCATGCTTTATTGCTTTTGAATCTTATGCTATTGCTTTCGATGAAAATTGATGTTGAAAATTTTCTTTTTTTATTTTTTCGTAATTTTAAATTCAATTGTGTACCAATGCGTAATATCGCGACTACCAATAAGTACCTCGCAGTTATCTAACTTACTACCGCTCTTTTGCGGGGGAGTCGAGAAAGGTCTAAATTTCTGGGGCACATGACGTTGTTTACAGTAGTGACAATCGACTGATTACAACAATTTAATGCAGAAATCACAATGTTTTGCCAGATATTGAACTCCAAATAGAAGATTGTCAAAGAAGGAAAGCTTAGAATATTTTATCTGCTTTAAAATGTGACGATTTTCAATGAAAATTTAACGAGAAGAGTCCGCTTAATTAAAAATATCGTTAAAAAAGTCACAATTTACGATTGGCTCCTCTCAAAAATTTATTTCGTTTAAAGTCATCATTTTGTAAGTTCTATGGTCGATACAATGACCTTGTCAGCAAATACAATTTATCACTGAGTCAAATGCTGACTGACTTTTTTCATACCAATTGTTAGTCCATTATTTATACACTGAATTGATGACGGTTTTTTCCGTTATTTCCTGATCATGACAAGGAGCTCACGGCGGGTGTGACCGGTCGGCAGGGGATGTTCACTCCTCCATGGCACCTGATCCCACCTCTGATGCTTCGGGGGTCCGTGTTTGCTCTGCTCTTATTTTGTATTGTTTTATGGACTTTGAGATTGAATACTGTTCGTTATCTCCATATCCTTCTCATTAGGCTGGTATAGCGATTGTTTTGCAAGGTATACCACTAGGATGTTTTACTTATCTGTCCTTATAAATTCTACAATGATCGATCTTGCATTGTATTAAATAGTGCATTTGCCTACATCAAACAGACGTTTCCTACCTCCATCGCGAAAGAGTTCCGCTAAGTAAAGTAATCGCAAGTATTTGGATTGTATTTCATCTTGGAAAAAAATAGATCTGTACAAACAGATTGATATCAATTTCTTTGTTTTTTTTTCTTTTAGCAAAAGATACCATTTTAGTTATCATTTATCATTGTGAAGAAGGAATGGATATCACAAGACCGTCCCACTACAACCGTAGATTTTCCAGTGTTCTAGATTTGCGTTTTAGTGAATGCCGCAATATATTTTATGGAAATAAATTTTCGATTGAAGAACTGAAAAGACTTCTTCTGTCAAGGAAAGGGTATGAAAATACAGGAGGTACATAATCAGTTGAAATATTCCAATACACAGGAAGAAACAAGACCTTTCAGTTAAAACTTAAAGGCGACTTTGGTGAATTTTCAAATACCATTCAGCCACCGAAGTGGCACATACATTTCAGTGACCTTTCAGTTGCCTTTCAGTCACATTTCATGTCTTTTATGAGTCACCATTCAGCGAACATATTTCCGTTAACTTTCAGTTACCTTTCTGTCAACTTTCAGTGACTTTTCCATCAACTTTCAGTGACCTTTCCGTCGACTTTCAGTGACCTTTCTGTGGTCTTTCAGTGACCTTTACGGCGACTTTCAGTGACCTTTCTGTCGTCTTTCAGTGACCTTTCCGCCACCTTTCAGTGATATTTAATTTTAGTCTCAATTTTGCGATTTTTTTCATTAGCTTATTAATTTATAATCATGCAGATATTTTTTCCCTTATCAATGAAGCAATATTTTGACTAAAGATTTATTATTCAATCTTAATTGTGTTTTTTACTTATCGTAATTAAATTCGCGTACCTAAAATATGTATAAATGATATTATTATTTATAAAATAAATATTTATTCAAAATGATTTTTATTAATTTTCTAATTACATTTAGAAAACAAAATTTCGTCAAGTGATAAAGAATAATGATCCGATAATTGAATCAAAATTTACATAAATGCCGCATAACATTCTATAGTGCTTAAACGTGTATTTTTCATGGAAGTATCTATTTTTGATTGATGAGACAGAATTTATTTGATTTACATCTTTTCTGGAAGGTCCCTTATATACCTGGGGTCCGTTTTACAAAAGAATTTACAACTTTAAAAGACCAAGTATAATTATTTATATAACTTTTTAATTAACATTATATCGAAAATTATTTTAAACATTTTAAAAAGAATGTGGTAAGATATTTTTACACAGAAAATTTAAAAGAGAATTATTAATTTTTCAAAATTTTACAGTAATCTGAAGTGTTTGGTTTTAGTCGTAATATCTTTTGTAAAACTTTGATTCCCCATCAATTTCGTTTCTTAATTAATTTCAAAACCATAGGATATTTTAGCTTTTGAAAGACATCATTTTAAAATCATTTTACATGAATAGAATAAATCATTAATACATGCCTCTCGTAGGAAAAACTAAATTTTGTAGAGTCTAGCTTTTAAAATTACATTTTATTCTACTAAATTTCTAGATAGAGAATTAAGTTTACAATGATCTCGCATATCTGACACAGAAACAGGTGACCGTCGATGATAATTGTCATCATTTCTTTGGGAGATGTGTAATTAATCATTGTGTCCCCAAAATCCGCGCAACTAACATAGAATATACAAAAGATATACAAGATATATACACATCGCAGTTCCTCGGTACAACAGGTGAACCGATTGTTCCATCGATTTATACAATTTGATTGATTTTAATTCAATTCAAGAAACTGTAGCTCAATTGATAAGGTCGCGGACACTAGAGTAGGAGACCAGGGTTCGATTCCGGCGGTATGCACAATTTTTTTTTCTTACATTAATTTTTTCCCTCAATGTTTTATTCGGAATTAGATAAATTTAATGCTACTTTACAAGGAAAAAGTGAAATAATTTTTTTAAGTTAAAAAATAAGCTGATTATTCAGTAAAAAGATGCAACTGAACGATGGCTGAAAGGTCACTGAAATGTATGTGCCATTCAGTCGACTGAATGGTAACTGAATGATCACGGAAAGGTCACGGGAAATGGTCTTTTCAGCGACCTTTCAGTGACCATTCCGTGGGCATTCAGTTACCATTAAGTCGACTGAATGGTGGATTTTCATCCTGTGATAGATTCTTTTTGGTATTAAAATTGATTTTATACATCTGATAAACCACTAACCATTTTGGTGTAACATGGTCAAATACATTTGTTAAAGTGTAAAATGTAAGGGATTAGTTTTTTGTCTAATAAGGTCTTGTCTAAATTTTAAGTAGAGTCTACAATTTTTCATTTGGAGATAACGAACAGTAAGCAAGGTCAAAAGATCATTTTCGTTTAAAATCAACCCTTTATTTTCTTATACATGTTCATGTAGTTTTTATTCATGTCACATTATTTTTCAACATTTATGTCTTTTATGATTGAGAAATTTAAAATTCATTTCCATTTATTTATTAACAAAAACTGAATAACAATTCTTTTCTTTAAATGATAACAATTCTTGTAATTTGAAAATCATGATAATAGATACGTGAACAGGATGTCTTCGCGGATATAAAATCGATATCATTACAAGCAACTATCAAATTCTACTGGTAACAACAAAAGCCTATTCAAAATAGAATGTATCAACATAGACCAAAACAATGTTTTCCTCAATATTTATTCTTCATAGATAACATGGTAAAACAAGAGTGCCCATGGGCCACATTTTATGGCACCTGAGAAGCTTTGACCATTCTGTTCTTTACCAGATTTAGTTTTAATGCATATTTCTTTGACCTCACCCTACCCCACTGATCATGATTTAGACATTTTGAAATTACAATACCCCAGGATGCTTCGATTTGCACATAAATTTCAGCTTTCCTGGCCCAGTGTTCTTGAGATGTTCAGATTTTCAAAGAATTTTCCTATATATTTCTATGTAAAACTTTGATTCCCCATTGTGGCCCCGCCCTACCCCCGGTTTCATGGTTTGAACAATTTAAATAAAGCTACCCCAGGATGCTTCCACATAAGTTTCAGCTTTTCTGGCCCAGTGGTCTTGAGAAGAAGATTTTCAAAGAATTTTCCTATATATTTCCATGTAAATTTTTGATTCCCCATTTGGCCCCGCCAATGACAAGCTGTTGAGATAATTATGTATTCGTTTTGAAAAATTTGTAAATTAATTTTCCTACAGGTTTTAAACTGCCCGTGGTAGCTATTGCATATTCCACATAAGTTTCAGCTTTTCTGGCCCAGTGGTTCTTGAGAAGAAGATTTTCAAAGAATTTTCCTATATATTTCTATGTAAATATTTGATTCCCCATTGTGGCCCCGCCCTACCCCGGGGGGTCATGACTTGAAAAATTTCAACTACACTACCCCAGAATGCTTCCAATATATACAGCTTTTCTGGCCCAGTGGTTCTTGAGAAGAAGATTTTCAAAGAATTTTCCTATATATTTCTAAAAACTTTGATTCACCATTGTGGCCCCGCCCTACCCCCGGGGGTCATGATTTATGAAAAATTATAATTTACACTACCCCAGGAAATTTTTCCACATAAGTTTCATATTTTCTGGCCCAGTGGTTCTAAAAAAATAAGATTTTCAAAGAATTTTCCTATATATTTTGTAAATTTTTGATTCCCCATCACAAAAGTTATATAACTGCCCTACCCCGGGGGATGATGAAATAAGCAATTAAATGTTCACTTTCCTAGAATGCTTCCATTAAGTTTCAGCTTTTCTGGCCCAGTGGTTAGCATAAGAAAAGAAGATTTTTTTGATTTATCAAAAAATTTTTTTTTATTTCCTATCTCCCCTTGTGAGGGGACTTTTTTTCATTTTAACAATTTAAATTTCCTTCACCCAAGAAAAAAGTTTGGTCAAAATTGGCCCAGTGGTTCTTGAGAAAATAGAAAATGTGAAAAGTTTCAGACGGACAGACAGACAGACAGACGGACGACGGACAAAATGTGATCAGAAAAGCTCACTTGAGCCTTCGGCTCAGGTGAGCTAAAAATTTGTGAAATCACAATGCAATTTCATCATCCACGGGCGCAAACACAAACCAAATACACACTCTGGTTTAAAGTTGGACTATTTTGGATTTTGGTATTAATTCTACTTATAAATTTCCCTTTTGGTTGTTTTTTTTTTATAAAACGAAATCACACAAAAATTCAAAATTATATCTAGACTTTTCGGAAGAAAAACAGATGCGAAAATCCTCCATTTGCAAGACGAGGAACCCCAAACGCAGCAAGTCATGGAATCCTTTTACCACACCAGGTATAAAAGACATTTTTTATTATCTGAAATTTCCATATGTTTCATTAAAATATAGCAAAAAGTACACTAAACAAAATCATATTCTTTCTAGACAAAACAAAATTGTATTTCCTGTGCAATGCAAGAGAAAATGAATGCAGAAAAATTATGTGTATGTTTAAAGAAGTTAATTCTTTGCCGTACGAATTTATTTGGAAAACAAGTGCAAACGAAGTGGCCTTGCAAGAAAAGGTTTTTCTTGTATGTTTAAAAATGTCTCGCTTAGAAGATGATATAGCACACACAAAATCAAGTGTTTGTCTTTCAGGTATGTATGATATATGTTATATGTGCTTCTGCATAAGAATTTTTTTTTCAATAAAGCTTATGTACAAAGTAAATTGCTTTATTATTTATTTAAATGAAGTACAGTATTTCACAAACTCATTCATTATGAGCCCTTTACCTGTTGTGAGTGAAAAGAGACGATAAAATAAGGTCGTTTTAAAATATCTTAGTGAATCTTTCTGTAATTCATTACAATGCTTACTTCCTAACAGATGCAGTAAAGCCTATATTAATTATTCTACACTACTGCGTTAAAGGTGTACAGCTTGATATTTCTTTGCCAAATGAGGATGCTCGTTTCGAAGATGTTATCAATATTTTGTACAGTGATGAATCAGGATGCTATGAATGTAACGAAAATAGAATTGCTTCAAAGAAGATGAAAAAAGTGGTTGCAGATTTTGTTTGATTTTGTTAAAGTGTAGTGTGAAGAGGAATGTACGAAAATCACGAAAGTAATGGAGAAGGAGCCTAATTGTTGTAATGTTTAAAGATTCAAGACTATTTTTCTATGTCGATTTAGTTTTTGTTATTGTAAATGACTTGTGAACCAATGTAGTTTGCCAATTATATTATGTAAATTTCAGACTTTGGAAATTAACAAAAGTAACAAAACAAAGTTTTGTCTATACCACAATGTTTTCCCGACATAAAATAAAAATTCAACAAGTGTTAATAGGATTTATAATATTAATTAACATTATCTTCATTTTTATGATGTCAGTGTCAGTTTTCTTTGCTTTTAATATTTTTGAGATGTTTCGTGATTTGTTTAGAAAGTCTTCATTTTCAAAACTCCTATCAATGTTGAGCAATTTTGAGAGCCACGTTTTTGTAACTTTACTTAATTGTCTTATACAAGTGAACTTTTCATTGGTATCATTTGTCTTTTGGATCATACATGTACATTCACACTTTGCGTTTGAAAAAAGCACAGGTGGATTGAAATTGAATTTCAAACTAGAATTTCAATGTTTTCTCCGCGTCCTCATCGAATTGTACCCGCCCATTTCATTGTCTATCATTGAATGTTTTGATTGTCACAGATAGAAATTACGTAAGCTCTATATTTCTAATCTTGCCACTTAATGTTCCGCGGTCTTATATAATAGAATCGATATATGTATAACCTGTACTACTCTCTTATCACGATAATTAATAATAATGTTTGTAAAATGTAAACTTGTTTAATGATCATGTTATTCATAATGTTGAAAGAAAACGTATTATTCACTTACTTCCTTTAATTTTTTTTTTTTCATTTTGAAAGGGAAATCGGGTGTTTTAGAGTTACATGAGGTAGATGAAAATCAACAGCTTCATTATTTAAACAATTATTTAAACAACTTATTTGACATTAGTATTATGAAATGTAATTAGAATGAAATATAAAGGGATAACGAACAGTATTCAAGCTCAAAAGTCGACAATTCAGTGTGTATATAATGGCCAATTATGAACAGATAATGGCCTAACAATTCGTATAAAACGCCAGCCAGCATTTGAATCAATAATAAATTGTATTTACTGATAAGACAAGTTCATGGTATCGAATACATGATTTACAAAATTATGACTTTAAACAAGACTGCTGATGTTTTTGTTTCAGCAACTTGTTGTCAATAACTTACCTATTTTTAGCAAATTTCAATACGTAAAGCATGCTCTCACGTATGAAATCTACTGAGAAAAATAGACCCTGTATGCAGGTGAAAAAGATTTATTACTGCGTAAGTGAAGGAAGATGAAAATTGAAAAGTTAAATTCGTCACATTTATCGAAATGCATGAAAGTTAATTAGTATTAACGTCTTTTTTACGGAAAATATCTCAATATAAAACAGATATGTCAGACTTTGCGGTATCTTTTATTTTAAGCTTACCGGGATGAATCATAATTACATAAATATGCAAATAACCATTGTTGACAATACATCGCCGGTAAATCTAAATGTGGAGTTGAAGATCACAGCAAGTGTAATTTTTCACGTAAAAGGTTTTGGACAAAATTCTGCTTCATATGAATACAGAAATACAATGTATATGTCTGCTTTTTACGGAGTGCAATTGATACCCATGGGAATTCTTGTACATTGTTTTATGATTTGATCTCTAAAAGCAAGAAGAAAAATATTGACGAATTGTTTTAAACCTTTCTTTTATTTTTATGCAGCCAGCGAACAAAAAAGTGATTATTTAATTTAAAAAAGTTAGCATTTTGATAATTCTATTATCAGGTATTCTCTCTTTTCTGTTTTTAGATACCTAATAAGGATGTGCCGATGGTTATATGATTGCTTACGAGCAATATTCAATTTCCTAAGGAATTTGTGCTGCTGTTTTGCAGGTGATCAATTTCATTATTGTGAATACGTTTTAACCTAAAATATTGTTTATTCTGGATGTCACTGTCCAATGATTATGTAATCAAATTGTAAATAATTTGAAGAACTGTAAAAGCAGTAATATTTCTTTGGGATCGTAATTGTTGTTTTATTCTGAAACGATTGTCTTGAAAAGAAATAGTGATGAAGATAAATGATTTAAGTGCCAACCTGAGTCCTGTTTTACCTACATGACATCCATCCCAATGTGAATGATAAATGAAAAGAATATGCATTAGGGATAAATACTTTCATTAAGATTATTCAATCCCAAAAGTCTATTAAACAATACAAAATTGGAGCAGTCATCATATTTATCATATAGCTTGGTTGTTAGATTACCATTAAGGTCTTTTTCAAGTAAAATATCCAAGTATTAAACAGATGTGTCAGACTTTGTGGTATCTTTTATTTCAAGCGCACCCTTTATAAACCCTTTATGCAGCTGATGACAGTATATTGATTCAAAAGAAAAGTTGACGATTGAAAACAATAGGTCTTCACGTTTAGCATAAAGCTTGGTTAACTCAGACTTAGGCCTTCGTTATTTTTTCCAGCTAAGCATATTTTGGATCACATAAACTTGGCATTACTCAAAAATTTATAATGACCTAAATGCTCAATTATAATATCCTATTATGCTTTGTTTTTTTTAATGAAACAGTTAAAAATCAAATTTATATTATTATATTAGAAGTAACATAGAAGATTATAGAAAAATATATAGTATTGGGGATGTTTTGAAAACAGAGCGTCTGAGGAGGTAGGAGAAATAAAGCTTAGATGATTTATTACTTTCCACTAGAATTTTACTTTTAGATCCGACTTCATTTTCACAATTTTGATTAAAAATAGAGATTATTCTTACGATAATTTGTTAATGAAATACTCTATGTTCCATTCAAGAAAGAATCTTGGAAATGTATTCCTATAAATTTGTATTTTAATGAAAATAAACCACTTTAAACTGTAGTATGCATAAAGTCCGTCTGAAAAACAGATTGTATCGTATAATACTAAAATATAAATATAATGAACAAAGTTCACTTTTAAGTCATTATAATCAAACAAAATAATAAATCAACAGATTGAATATATATCATTAAAAAGGAAATTTAAATGATAAAAACTGTTTAAATATCATTGATTTCTCTTCATTGAATATTGAAATGAATGTAGTTTTAAATACTTCTTTTTCTCTGATAGTACAATGTAAATCATTTATTACCTTTGTATCTTTTCCAATCAGAAGACAGTGAAGAAAATGGTCGCCTTTTAACGAAATCAATTCACGGTGAGTCTTACAGATTATTTACGCATCAAGTAAATAAAAATCAGTTGAATGAAAAACTGAATAACAAAATTAAAGAAAACTGAATGACAATTTCATATGTTTGAAGATTTTTTTTCTTTTGACCTTTTGTAATTGTACGAAAAGAAAAAAGGAAAATTAAGTAAATTGATAAGGATGATTGGAATGAATAGGGAAGATCTTACAATTATTTTCACTGATGTAAAAGGCATTTATTGTTTGTATATTTTTTTATCCTATAGTGACAACATCCCCACTTCAAGCATATTGTCGAAATACATTTCAAAACTTTCAAAACAAGTATTTGCGATCGTGCAACCTCGAGTGGAAAGATCTTCAAGTAATTACGAACACAGTAATTATACTTTGTCCGAAGAAGTCTCGCCTTCAAGATGACATTACAGAGACTTTGAATTATTTCAAAATATTAGGTAATCATAATTATTATTATTATTCGAATCATTCATAACATATGGAATTTTGTTTTTATTTAAGAAAACACGTTCATTTTTTAGGTAGCAAAAATTAAACTTGTATCAAGAAATACATAATCCTCTTTTTATCATTTCATATAGTAGCTAATTTATATATTTTCAGGTCAACCAAAAATAATGCTTATTGTAATGCACTATTGTGAACGTGACATAGAGCCGGACATAGAGCCGGAAAACCTTCTAACAGAAAATAGAAATAGCAGGGTCTCATCTTTTGCTAATATAGTATATAGCGATTCCGAACAATGTTACGACTGTCATATAAACGGTAAGGCCGTGAAAGCCATCAAAGACTTTATAAGAAGTAATTGATGAAATGGACATATCATGTATTAAAATGGTAACTACATGTACATCATATAAAAACTTTGTGAAGACTTCATACAAAAGAAAAACAACTTCATTTTATTAACATCGTTTCATATTAAATAGTAACAAAATACCTTTATAGAAACTTGGCTTATTTGTAAAGTTGTTTTGCTTTTAAAAACGATAAGAGAAATTTTATAATTTGTACATTGAATTACGTCAAAAAAAAAACTGCATCCATGCGTTTTAAAATATATGTATAGTTGACATCTATTCAGATGTATATAAAATCTATAAAAAAAATATAATAATAATAATTTTTGGAGTTAAGATTTTCACCATACATATAAAGGTTTTTGTGTTGATTTGGAAATACTTATTTTGGACAAAATTATAATCTAGTAAGATGGGATTCTTGTCTTGTTTTTGATAAGATGAAATATCTAAAGTCTAATTGATTGCCTGTATGTCTTATATATTTTAATGTAAGATATTTAAAAAGATCCTATTTTCCTTCCTTATTACAATTGTATAACTTAAAATATATATGAAAAAATGAGTTGGTAACTAGCAGGGAATATATTTTGGCGGAATGATGGCGTATGAAAATATCTTTTCTGCCTCTCAAAATTATTATAGAATAATGAATTTAGTTGTAATTTTTAACACAATCAAACACCCGAGAAAATCTTTTTAAATGTACATAAAATTTATAATAAGAAACAAAAGTTTAAAAATGTATAAAATATGTCCAGATCTAAGCACATATTTGAGCCAACAATCAGCAAAAAGTGTTTTTCTCTCTTTGTAAACGATCAAACCTTTTGTTTCTGAATCATGATGTTCCTCTATATGACTTCACAAAATAAGAAAAATTTAAATTTTGAAAGATTATTAAAAATAATATTTCCTAACAATTTAAGAAAATCAAAAAAATTTCGGATAACCCAAAATCCTTTTGCAGTTAAATTATCTATGTCAATTTGGTAAAATCATCTCACAGACTCTACATACAAATTTCAATTTCTTTATATGCAAAAAAAATTATTTTTCAAAATAGAAGTAGGCTTCGAATGATTAACAATAACATATTTTTATGCATCCGTAAACAAAGTTTCGGGGGTATATAGTTTTTTTTGTCGTATCCGTCCATCTAGCTGTCTGTCTGTCTACGTTTCAAAACGTTCAAAACTTTCATTTCGGCCATATTTTTTGAACAGTATATTACAAGACTTTTTTATACTTCAAATATGTATTATTGTGGCAAGACCTTTCATTGTGTACCAATATATTTAACATTTTGGCCTTGGAGATATCCGCATACTTATGAAAAAAGGACTCTTGATATTACTTCAATAAAACATTTATTGTTGTGTTTAATATAAATCCTATTCAAACGTTAGCTATCAAATTTGACCACAAGGTCTTCTTTATATCTTGAAAATCACATCAAATATGCACCTACCCAACTTTTCCGGAGCTATTTTAGGTTTGCATAGAAAATATCCAGAAGGCTATCTTTGTTGTCATGACAGCTATACTGTTTTCGAGTATACATATAGCAATTAGGCCTAGTTCAATTATGTTTTATGCTCAGTCAGTGAATGTGATACATATGTATTTGTATAAATTATAGAAAAAGTAGTGTGGCCTTTCGTGGAAGTATCTTTTTATTTTCTAATGGAAACAATTCTAATGACGTTTTTATTTCGTTAATTAATATGTTTAGTTCCATTTTTTTATTCCGGAATAAAGGATGGATCCAGCATAAACTTCTTTGGGAAGGGGAGGGGATTACATTGTTGCAATTGTCCATAACATTTAAAGATCCCAACACAAAAACCCTACTTTATGGTTGGGGAGGGGGTCGGCTTAATTGGTGGACAAGCTACATTCTTCCATATATACCGGTATTCTCATTTTTTCCATCAACTTATGTCAGTCATTCATCAACAAAAACATACCAAAGTAAAAAAATTTATGTCGTTTACCAAATTGTAAAATCTTAAACAATTTTAAAGATCGATTTCAACTCTTTGACTTGATATATACACATAGTTTTGTAAATATTTAGTGGTATATATATGCATGCAAAGTTTTGATAAGAAAACATAATGATTAAAACGCATTCAGCTTCAAATCTTAATGCCGCTTCGTTCATTTACAAATTTCAATTCCGCCAAATAAGCGTTAAGAAGAGATTGCATGAAATATTAAAAAATGTTTTCATGTAATAAAAAGAAAACAAACGGGTACAACATCTCTCGAAGAATGCTTGGATCTTTTTTCATAAAAATCAAAGCATATCTCTGATAATCAATAAATTTCCGTAACTATATATTTTTTTAATTTCTTTGATCTTCATAGATTCTGTTTCAGATTCTTGGCTTTAAGTTCTGAAATCTGATGATAGTGTGAAAATAGGTGAAATATTACAAAAGTTGCATTATAATCTCTTTATCATAGATTTATAAAAGAGAAAGTGTATAAGGCGAGGACAATCACTCGCTCTATGACGGAAAAGTTTCATTTTTCTAAAATTATGTTGTCGGTAATGTCATCTTCAACATATTTGATTCATATAATAGTATTGTACTGAAAGACATGTTGATTGAAAATTGTTTTTTAAACTTCTTTAGTGGAAAATGGGTACATTAATATTAAATCCTAAGTTTTGTGCTTATATCACGGAAAAGTAAACCCATTGTGTCTTTTCTAAATGGAGTCTGAACCCATTCTATTTAAAAGTCGAATATTTCTGGAATGTTAAAAAAAGTGAGGATAATGAGTATTTATTTATGTCGAAAAATTTACAAACAATACGAATGTGTGAGCAGGGCATAAATACGAACTCCCTTGAATACCAGAGATTGGAACAGGTGGCTAGGAGGAGTATTGATCATTGACCGGACACACCCGCAGTGAGTCTTATGTATTGATCAAGTAAACGGAGCATTTCGTGATCAAATTTATTATAAAAACAAAGGTCTAACAGTTGGGTGAAAGAAGTAAGCCAAAAAAAAAACGACCAAGGATAAATTAAACTAGAAACTCCTGTTGCTACAGCAACAAAAACGGTCTACCGTTCTCCTCTATTTATCTGTATGAATGAACGTTTCTCTGTGTTAAAAAAGGCATATAATATTTAAAACGATACAGGAAAACAAACTGCCGGAGGTGTAACTTACCAAGATTCTCCACATTACTTTAGACAATTATAGCCTTAAGAACATTTACAAAAAACATTTTCAATTTTTTTATCACTTCTTCTGACGACCGGAAGTGACGACAGACACATTTTACGCTGTATTTGTTTAGTGTCTTGATCTGTTACAGTTTAAGAGATCTCGTAATGTTAACATCTCATTTTGAGAACCTACCTGACTGGAAGTTAATTTAAAAAAAAAAGATATTTGAGGTTACTCTAGACATTTCAGTCTGAATGACATGTCCTAAGATCATTTCAAATACTCTCTTTTAAAAGATATTTATGATTTAGTCTGATACTCAATTTATGCAAATTTTCTCTCATAACCGGAAGTTGTCGATTTTGTTTCCAGTGGGACAGATATATTTCAAAACTACAAATTAGATGCTATAATGTATTACTAAGAAAGATTCCATAAAGAATTATGGAATTTTTTTTATTTATTTGATCACTTCCTGTGACATCGGAGGTGACGGCGGACGATGTTAACCCAAATAGATTTGCATTCTCTTCAAATTCTACCATTCCTATAAGTTTGGCGTCGTAATTTTTTACAGTTTACGAGATATAGCTATGATAACTTCTCATTTTTGGGACAGGAAATCACGCGACCGGAAGTGAATTTCATAAGGATATTTGACGTTACTGTAGACATATGCAGTCTGAATAACATATTCAAAAATCATAACAAATACTTTATCTATAAAAAGTATAAATGGGAGAGAAAAATACTCATATTTTGTAGTTCTTCTTTTATAACCGGAAGTTGTCGTTTTTGTGGGACTGATAAATTTTGAAACAACAAATAAGATGCTATAAGTGATGTAAAAAAGTTTCATAAAAGAAAAGTTGAAATTTTCGATTTCTTTAATCACTTCCTGTGACAACCGGAAGTGACGGTGGGCGATCTTATTACAAATGGATTTGTCTACTTATCAAGATATGTTAGTCCTATAAGTTTGGTGACTAAATCTCTTACCGTTTTTGATATCTAGCTGTGATAACTTCTCATTTTGACGACAGGAAATCACGCGACCGGAAGTGAATTTCATAGATATATTTGACGCTACTGTAGACATTTGCAGTCTATATAACATATCCAAAAATCATTACAAATGCTTTATGTATTAAAAATAATTATGGGAAAGAAAAATGCTCAAAATATGCAGTTTTTCTCTTATAACCGGAAGTTGTCGTTTTTGATTCCGGTGGGACTGACATATTTCGAAACGACAAATAAGATGCTATAATGTGATGCAAAAAAAAATTTTATAAAGAAAAAGTTGAAATTTTTTATATTTATGATCACTTCCTGTGACGACCGGAAGTGACGGCCGACGATCTTAACCCAAATGGATTTGCCTACTTATCAAGATTTATCATCCCTGTAAGTTTAGTGCCTTAATCTCTTACCGTTTCTGAGATCTCACTCGGATTAAATATTTTTGAAAAAAGCGGAAATCGGACATATCTGACGACCCGAAGTGAATTTTGAAAAAAATTAAAAAAAAAACGTCTCGGGGTTTTTTCATTCTCTATCATCCCTGAAAATTTCAGGAAAATCTCGTCAGCCATCTCAGAAATCCTGCCGACAAGAATTGGGGAAAAAAATAAGAAGAAGAAGAAGAAAAAACAGTAGAATCTCTATAAGGTCTTCCGTCTGAAACGGAAGACCTTAATAATGGGTGGAAAAATATTATTTGTCTCAACAATTCATTTTGTTAACCATCAAGAAGACACCGTAGCATACAGTGGCTAAAGCATTCAGTCTCACGCCTATCATGAGCTTTGGAGA